CCCCAAAACCCCAAAACCCCAAAACCCCTAAATGGTTGATTTTCTTATTAAAGTAGTTATTGCATTAAGAATATATTCGCTGAGGATATAATTTATATTTAATTTAATTAGAGTTAATTACGCGTGCTTTTATTATGGGAAATATCGTCGAGAGATGTTGCGAGAAAGAACCTGACTAGTCACCAATGAAATCTTCAAAGACTTACTCAATCGCTTAAGTGTCCAAGCCAGAAAAAGACAAATCTGCTCTTAACTTCAGTGACCAGGATTTCTAGAATATATTTGCTTAGACTGACGATAAATAATTTAAGCATTAAACCAGCCTTACAGCAGACAAGCAAACTATTCCTGGTGCAGCACCTAGTGCTATTCAAAGGAAAAAATCAACTTTGCATGGAGAAATTGTAGGTGCGAGGCCTAAACTTAATTCAATTACCATTGGATTCTCAATGCATGCACATAATTTCCCTATCACTGCTCTGAATAATACAACTGCACAGAAAAAAAATAGCATGAGAAAAAGAAGCAAACTCCATTCGATGAAGCCCCCTCACTTTGAGATCCTCAGTGAGAAGCTAAATGCTTCAGAGGAGGAAGCTGCTTAGTCACATTTAGAAGGACTTGAGATGATTGTTGAGACAGATAAAAAGGGAGATGGTAAAACACCAAAGTAAGCTAATCTTACAGAGGAAGACGAAGATTAGGAATAAGAGTAAGACTGCCAAAACATTAAATTTGTCAAGTAAGAATCACAAGATGTGAATAGTATCAAATAAAGTCAAGTTATGTCCCTAACGACCAAGTAGAGTACTGAGGTCTCAGAATTAAATAAATTTTAATCTTAAACCTAGCAGCAGACAGAAGACAATAAATAATAATGACAGGAGATAAATCATCTTACTCTGCCAGTATAGATGATTGCTGCTTGTATAATGATACCTCTTATTCACTTGGATAAGAAAAGTTATGGAATGAAAACCTATAACAATAAGAACTTGGCTTAGTTTTAATAATAAAATCTTATACTTCACTCTCTTTTGAAATTCTTTCAAGATTAAATCCTTATGGGGTTTTGGGGTTTTGGGGTTTTGGGGTTTTGGGG